ATTTTACCCTTTATTTTCCTTTTTCTTGGGAAAAATATTTTCACCAGGGGAGAGAAGAGGCACTTGGATTGTTATTCTGTGATTTTTCCCCCTTCCTACTCCTAATAGGCCCAAGAGGGGCATTTTCGCTCCCTGCATAGAAACAGTATCACAGGGCTGGAGGGAAGGTGCAATTCCCAATATTAAGCCACCAGCTCCTGACCTTTGGAAAAGGCAGGAACTCACCCAAAAATCACTGCCACACTGTTATCAGTCATGGCCACCTTGATCAGTGCCATCCTTGGCCTCCCCATTACTGCCTGGCACTGCTCACCCCTGTTTCGACTGGCCCTCTCGCACAGCACTGTACCAGCACACCAGAGCCACAGGCACTGGCCTGTTCCTCGCCCGGCTGCCTCCTGTGGCCGCCCCACTGCCTTCCTCGGAGAGCAGCAAGACATCTGAGGAGTGAGGCTTGACGGGACAGTAACAAGAGAGTGCTTTGCTATGCCCTTGCCTGGTCTGGGCTCTCCAGATGGCAGAGGGACCCTTTGTCCTAGCCAGGGCTCCAGTTTTGAAGATGATAGGTTTTTCTGGTAGGAGCACTCCTCAAGAAGATGCTGTTCCTCAGTGAAACCAAGTGTCAAAACCTTTTTGAGGTCTTCCAAAGTCCTTTCAATGTTTTCTTTTGAATTTTCTTGGAAGAAAACACTGTGGCACCAGATTGGGAGTTCTGGAGTGTTTCTTCTTGAAAAAAACTGGTTTGTTGTTGGATAAAAGCCTTTTGGACCAGCTGGTTCCCACCAGACTCAAACATCACAAGAACCAGGATGATATCATTGCCCCGGGACGGATCTACACCTGAAGCAGACAAGACATCCATTTGCGGTGGTCATGCTTCAGAATGTCATTCTGTTGGAAGACCACAGTGAAATACATTTACCGTTTGGCAGGTTCTGCTTGGAAATAAACACATGGGTGTGTGATCTCAAATGTTATGACAGTACATTTGCACAGTCAAGAACTCAATTGCTCAGAGCCTCGTCCCTGCTAGGTGATAGATGTCCAAGTTCAGGCTGACAGGATATGTCCAGGGCTGTGTATTAGAGGCAATGCTAAATATTTTTTATTTGACAGTTTCTTCCGGTGTGTGGAATTCAGGAGCGCTGCTCATTTCAGCTCTCACTGGCCACACCACCAGCTCAGGTGCTTTTGGAGGCCATTTCCCTGACAGTCCTGATCCCCGCTGCAAGGACAAAGCACTAGTTATCATGCACCTTCCCAACACTGCTAAATTTGCGCATCTGCATGCACACAACTGGGTTTGCATATGAGGCCGGCAGCAGCTGCCAGGGATTCTCCATCTCCTGAAGGACCAGTATTCAAACTGGTGAGGCCAATGCTCAGCCAGGCATTTGTCCCTGCTGCAAGTCGGAGGTGGGCATGTGTGTAATGCAAGGGAGAAATTACAGCAGCGCCAGTTTCCCGTCACCCAAGGATCGGCAGTTTCCACAGCTGCTTCTCACAGGCCCTGCCATATAAATGTCTGTGCTTGGCTGGTTACGATGGGAATTGCCATTCACCACGGCGTGAGGGGGCTTAAGCTGTCTCAGAGCAAGTTGTCAGTTAACCAACGCTTAATGTAGAGCCATCTGATCAGTATGAGGTATGTCCTCACAGGTAAAAAGCATTAAACATTTCAGATGCGGCAGCTTCTGAAGTCTTCCAGGATACCTTCCGCAGCACTCATTATTATCTTCCTGCCTCTCAGAGGGAGCAGTCAAAATAGGCACTTTGTGTTCATTACCCAGAGTAATATTCACTGGTCTATTTAATTAATGCTTAGAAAATGTACTTGATGAATTATAAGTTACTGGGGGTGGGGAGGCATGGAGAATGCAGAAATAGATTAACATTGGCTGATCTTTTAAACTTTTTCAGAAATTATTTCTCCAGTTTTTACACTCACAAAGTCTTGTGGGGTGTTCCCCCTTCTTGCAGGCACCTAATTCCTCGCAGCAACAGTTGCTGGCTATCAAGGAACCTCTTGCAGGAGGTGCTAGAGGCAAAGCTGTTTGTTGGCCGTATTGCAAGAGATGTAGGTAGCGGAGCAGAGGTGTCGGACACATTGTACTGCCTCTTTCTGTGCCCAGCCTATCCATTATTTCCTGGATGTATCGGCTTCACAGCGTACAGAGGAATGCTGCTCTCAGGGGAGTCCTCAACAGAAATCTGAGAGTTGCCGCTTAAAACTGATGATCGTGAAACATGCCATAAGAAAGGGCTTTATAAGGCTTAACGGGCAAAACAGACAGAGGGGGGCAGAGGAGGGAGGAGTATTTTCTAAATGCAGCACAACAGCCCCAAGCAGCTAAATGATTTTCTGAAGGTCATGAAGGAAACCTGTGTCCGAGTCAGGAATTTAACCCAGATTTTTTGCTTGGTTCATTGCCTTAGCAGCTGGATGTTTCTTCCTGCCTCCTTCGTCACTGACATCGGTCATTGTAAAGTGCGGTTTCCTTCACCGTATTTGGAAAAGGTGGTAACAGGAGGAGGTCTGACAGTGATTCATGATCAGTGCAAAAAAAGGTGTCTTTCCCTCCCCTTTCTGTTGTTGCAGCACTGGCTGTGAATTCAGGGGAGTCTGCTCCAGTTCGGGTTTTCTGAGCTTGCCACACAGAAAATCCCTTAAGAGTTCTCTCTGCAAATCTGTTTTCTTTTAAGTAGCACCAATTTCCTGGTGCACATGCTTTGCATTTGTCTGGGTGCATGTGTGAGAGCCAGTAACTCCCCAGCACACTCTCCACTCTGGAGATCACTTGAGAATTGGGTTTTCTTTGTGAAAATGAAGTATCATGTGCAGGCTCTGTGCTCCGAGAGTCTCGATTTTGCACAGAAAATATCTGTGTATGTGTCTATGTGGAAAGCCTTGGGAAAGATCCTTGGATCCTTAAGAAATGCAATATTGCCCTCTAGTGATGGTGAGGATGGTCTCATTTGATCTGATGAAACAAAAAGCATTTTGGCTAACCTTCACTGGGATTCAAAAATGGAATAAATGTTCCTATTTTCTTCTGACCCTGGAATTAAAGATCCTACCGTCACAACTTGGAGAGCACTGGTAGTGGTGATAAGCAGAGGAGGTTCTTCAAGAATCATAGAATGTATAAAATTATCACTTTTCTCCATGAATTCAGCAGATGGAAAGACAGCTGCACTCAGAGAGCAGCTCTACTAAGAAGGTTCCTTTTTTTAATGCAGCATCTTTTTTGCATTTCTAAAGCCAAGTATAATTTTATTTGCCAAAAAAAAAAAAAAGAGAGGCAGTTTCAAGGACAGGAGGTGAAAACCCAGTGGAAACCAAAAGAAAAATAAAATTAAGAAAAAGTTTAATTTTTCTGCTTCATGATCCCTACACTCAAATGGGTTTTAATTGGGTTTTATTTTTCTCATTTGAACTCTTCTGGCGGAGGAGAAGGAAGAATAACAGCCGGAGCACTTCAGCAGATGGACAAAAAGAGCTCAAAATGTTTCTCTCACTCTAGTAAGCAAGTAGTTGGTCGTACCTGCCAGGAAATAAACTGTTTTGAAGGGTTTCAGAAGACACTCAGGAGCACTACAAAGCTTTGACCTTTACCCCTAAGAAGGTTACATTTAAGGCCCTCGATTCTGCAAATAGATCAACATGGACAATCCCTCCAGCGCCTGGGTGAAGCCCCAGGAGTGTCAGCAGGTCTCTCAGCTCCACTCCCAGACCGTAGGGTCAGGGAGTAAGGTTTCTCTGTAACTGGACCCCGCATGTCAACCCAGATTTCTAAGGTTTCTCATTTTTTTAAGTTCCTGATGCAGACAGCATTTCCCTGGCACCTTCCCTATTCTAATTGCCTCTGACAAGGCACGATAGTACTGGAATTTTTGTAAGGAACATTGCTGCCACTGTCTGCAACTTAAAGATCACTATAAAACAGGGGGCAGGGTGGGCAGATAGATGTATTTTTTTTTCCTTACTTAAAACACGAAGTAAAAGCAAAATTCACCTTAATCATTCACTGAACTATCCAGACTTTCTCTGCTACTACAGGGACACACAACATACTTACATGTAGCAATCAGTCATTAACTTTGACGGTATCCTGAGCTTTTTTCCCCAAAAGATCACAAGGCAGAATTAAGAGCTGGAGTAGATTCAAGCCAGTGGCAGAACTCTCACAGAGTTCACTGCCAAAGGATCAAACCTTCAAAGCAGGCAGGACATGGAGTACTGAATTGAGTCCTGCATATCGTGGGCTTTCAACATAATTGCAAATATTTGGGGTAATCATGCAATGCAAGAGAATAGGTTTTTCTAACACTGAGGCTTTGGGCCGGTCTGCTTTCTACCGAGTTCTGTGAAGTCATCTCCAAAAAAAATTAGATTATTGGCATTCCCTGTCATCCCCAGCATCACTACTCACAGTACTGGTAAATTGTGCAAGGTCCTTAACTATTGCTGGTTGCTTACTCTGTGACCATAGCTGCTACATGCTAACTGTTAAAATATGGAAAGAAGCCTTTGTAAAATTCACCTTATGCAGAGCTGAAGTGGACAGGGAAAGACCCCAGAAGTGGATTTCTGTCAGTGAACATTTTTCAAGATGCAGGTCAACAGCACAGAAATGGGCAGGTTAGGTAAAGGAGCGAAGAAGAAATGCCAAGATATGATGGAGAATGAAGGGGAGTTTACAAGCAAACAGAATAAAGGATTATTTGAAGTTTAAAATCAAAACAAAAGATTATTTAGAAACAAAGTCGTCCACCTGATGATCCAGTTCCTTTGGTATGGCTTGGGGTGGTGGTGACTGATCATGTCCTGGAGCATGCACAAGCCTCTTTCATGACCCCAGTCTGTCATAAGCAAAGAAACTTCATTTTTTAGCATACTCAACATGACTCCATTGACCACATTTTTGATGTAATGAGTGCATTTTCATGTTTTGCCATAGTTCCCCCTTGTGTCTCACTTCTCTTGCTTTCCCTTTCAGGTTCTACATTGAAAGCATCTCCTATTTAAAGGACAATGCCACCATTGAGCTGTTTTTCTTGAACGCCAAATCCTGCATCTACAAGGTAAGGACTCGGGGAGCTCTGGGTGGCACTGGCGTGGGCTGAGACACCTGGGTCTGCATCCCCTGACCCAAAATTTACATTGCTTACACCGGGACTTTGATGATATACCACCTCCCCCTCCTCCCACCTTCCCTCACTTCTCTGTCTCTAACCACCCTGGCCAGCTTCCCTGTCAGAGAGAGGTTCTGAGGTAAAGCACACCTGGAAGTCACGCTTGTGGTTGGTAGGAAAGAATCTGCAGCTGCTAAAATGATAAATTGGCTTGTATTTAGAAGGAAATGCCAGGGTTTGTGTTAAACAAGCGCCGGTGGAGAAGCTGTTGGGGCCCGCGCTGGGCTGCGTGGATGTCGTTAGCGGTTCCCGCCCGAAGAGGGCGGCGGTGGCCGCGCGGGCTGCGGCGCGGG